TATGAGTTTGAATACTGGATTGCACTGGAGAGCCACTTACGGTAGGCATGGTCACGTCGGGGCTTGTTTCTAAAAATATGTACTCATCGTTCTTACAGCAGACGTTTGTATCTATAAAAATAACTTATTGCTTTATTAATATTTTCAGTTATACTGCTACAGCTGGGATAGTCTTCAGGCCCCCCATGACCCTGACAAGGATAAGTGGAAGAGAATGGATGGATGGATGTTACAGTGATCTCTGCTGTTAGGGCCAACATAGCCAGCATTTTGCATAATGATGTCTGTGTATGTATATGTATTCCCCGTGAGACCAAGGTTTAGACCTAAAATGTCTGAAAATGCTTGTCTGCAGACAGTTTTTTTTCTGTTGTTGGCTTTGAATGATGTCATAGAGAGGGGGTATCCTTACATGGCTATGTCAGTCATATAGCGCTTAATATGACCACAGAAGTTCCACCCACTTTCTTAAAACCCTGCTGTTTGTTAAAGACAGCCAATTAGAGGAAGGTTTGCTCAAACGGAGAGGAGCTAAAAGAACTTGTGTCAGACACAAGATGAATTGAGGGGCTCCACCAAGTCCCACTAATAGATAAATGTGGATTATTTTAAACTGTAAATCATGCAAAACTACTCTAGTAGAGACTAGTTCCACATAAATCAGCTAACTTTCCAAAGCAGTAAAATGTTAGGCTGACTCTACGAACACGTTATGCACCAATAATGCCGAAACTTGTTTATTTATTAAAGAGAAGGCCAACACTCCCATGTTGAACATTGTGGATTTGGTCTCTTGAAGCACTAGAGGGCTTCTGTTTAGAAAATGAACGTAAGTCACTTTCTGAGAAAGTGCAACACTTTGGTGTAAAGATAAGTTATCAATACCAGTTTTGGTTAGCATTAGTAGAGGCCAATCAGTTGAAGAACTACTGGAAAGAGATGAAAGAACATTTTCATATCTTTTGACTTCTTTACTTGTTAAGGCAAGACGTTTTAAAATGAATTCACTGTTGCCACTGAAAGGGAAGTAGCAGCTGCCGGCAACCTTTATTGACATTAACCTCCTTGCCCCAAAGAAAAAATTGATTTTTGCTCGGTGATTGCATTGAACTCTTTTGCTGTCTGAGGCAAATTAGTTAACAAGTTGTTGTGGCAACCAGCTGGTGTGCAACACCCTCAAACTCTGGACGATTGCGTTCGATAACAAGGTGATTGCACTGGTTGCCTGTTGGGAGCCAGGCTGCTTCCAAACAATGAAGACCTGACTTAGTGCAGTCACTCACAAACAGATCACAACAGAGTGCGATTAACTGGAGTAAGTCTGTGCTGATGAGTGCGACTGGTCTGCGATGTCTTACAATAGGGCACTTGACTAAATTGGTTCTCAAGTGGTTGTATTATGGTTATATTTCTTTATGTGTTTCTTTAAGTGCTTAAACTCCTGTAGTTAATTTGCCATCCTGCAGTGACTACATCACTATTTATAGAGGAATTTTAGTTTCAGATCTATGAGGTTTTACCGAGTATCTGAATATATCTAAAGGGTTTAATATGAATTGAATATGAATGATTTAATTGTACACAGCAACAAATTTGATATTTTCGCCCTGTTGTTAGAGTTAATTGACAGATTATTGCAAACATGAAATTACCAATTTGACCCCATACAGTCACAAACTGTAGACTGTCTCCTTGTTATTGCCATTTCATTTTGCCATCCAATCGTCCAAATTGTTGCAGTTCTAGTTCCTGTACCTTTCAAAGGCAACACGATTGCAAGTTCATTGCATGTGATGTTTTCTTTGATATTACCTAATGAATGTAGAATATCCAAGTTTTTACTTTATTTCATTTCTTTTTACTGGCTCTGCTGCACATGCTGGCCTTTGGTTATCTTTACAGGAGCTAGCCTTAAACAAAAATTCTGTTTGATTACTTTAACAAAAAAAAAAAGTAGGTTTAGGTTGTGCTACATAATTAAATGAGCTGGATCAGTTATACCTTACACAAATTGAATCTGTGCATATTAATATGCTCACTTGTCAGGAAACTGGCCTTTATATAAATTTAGCTTATATTAAGCTGATATGTCTTTATTTTCAGATTACTATTGGTTTCCTGTTTCTGTGAGATAAGAGATTCATTATTTTGATGTAATCTGCTCTTCAAGATAAATGCTAGGATATTGCCTAGCTTCACTGTCTTAGATTGGTAATTAATTCAGATGCTATCAGCTTCACCAACTGTTGGCTTATTATAATTTGGCAGAGGATGTTTGACAAAAACCCTGCGCTTGAATTAAAGTAACAGTTCTGGTCCAGATCTGAAGGGCAGGAAAACCCTCTGCCAGTAAATGTGAGGATAGTTTAACTTCAGACTTGACTTCAGAAAAAGAAATAAATCTCCCCAACTGTCAGTTTGGCAAGAAACAAAATGTGGTTTAAATTACTCTCTTGCACACCACGAATGAGAAAATGTATTAAAAAAGACATCAATATTCTGACTGCTGTAAATGAGCCTTGATTGGAGTGAGTGTGACTTTGGTGACATTTAGCTCACTAAATTAATAATGCTGATTCCAGATAGCTTTTCAGTGTGGTGGTGCATGGGCCTGTTACACTGTGACTCCGAACATAAACACACCTAAGCTAAAGAAGTAACCCAGCAAAGTTTGTTCCATGGTGAAGTAATGCTTTATGAAATCCAAGTTAGTTGTGGGCCTTGTTGTCAAATAGTCTTTGTTAGAGATTAAACAGAGATAAAACACAGTTTTAAAAATGACAACAACAACTTCCTTGAGAATATGTGTGAATGCTGCAGCAGAAGTAAAAGAGCTTGTATGAATTTGTGAATGAGATTGTATAGAGGGCTTTGAGTGCTCAAGTACAGCTAAAAAAGTGCTTAACAAGAACCAGTTCATTTACCATTACCATACAACTGTGCAGACAGAGGTTGGTTAAACAATGACACTATTGCAGATTGTATTACTTTGAAGTTGTATTTAATATTATGACATGTTGAATGATAAATAGAGAAAGTAAAGCTCTTTACATGCCATCTGAAGCACAGTATATCCATCTTAAGGTGTCAGAAACTGTTTAATTGAAATAAAAGTGGTTAAAAAATGTCCTACTTCAGCTAAAGCACTGACCTCCTTCTGGGATTCTTTGGAGAAAAGCTATCGATCAAGTAGTTCAAGTTCAACTCCTCAAACTCTTCAGATTTAGTGGCTGTAAGTGACCGGCTGTGAGTGCGCCTCCTTGTTATCTTTAGAAACTAACATCTTGAATATTAACACAAAGGACCGTTATCCTTGCAAAGCACTGACAGGAAGCAGCAGATAGTCTTCACCGCATATAAAGCTAGTTTGGGCTGCTTCCTTATTCACAGCAGGTAGCTCCACATGTTTGAGTTGCAGATTTTTATTTTTTCATGCCAGGTCTCCTTCCTGATTCAACCTTGAAGGGAATTGTGTCTCCTCCTGGGACCGAGCTGGGGATCTTACGCTCATTAGAGCCCAACATACATTAGGAATATTTAAATATGTAAACCGTAATTAACTATCGTTTAACTCCACAGGAGTTTCAGAGGGCACCTCCAGTCTGCTAGCACCAATCATAGCACTGCTGCTCCACCGCTATGATTCGTCTTAATGCTGCAGACCTCGTGTGAACGTTACAAAACATACAGACATTCTTATAATTGTACTATATCGAAAATAAACAAAAAAAGCAAACTCCACCCTCTTTTCTTTTATGACCACCTCAGAGTTCTCTATTAACCAAACTCGCATGGCCTTGCACAGTGTTAGAGGATCACAGCATAGCTACAAGGACACACAACAGTTAACGGTCTTTAACCTGCATGCTCCCCAGTGATGCTGAACTGTGCCCACGTGAGATAAATACTGGTGATTATCTAGTGAATTGATGGAGTGGGCGTGATGTATGCTGACTCCCTCATACTCTATCAAGGCAGCACCCGAAACCAAACTGAGTATTTCCAGCTTCTTGAGGGGACTATCTCCTGATTTTTGTCTACATGTTAAAATAGGGCATCTTAGGACAATTTCTTGACTTGATATCTCTGATATTGTGACTCACTCTCTGGAAGCTCATGTGTGATAACAACTGAGGGTTCAGACGTGCTCTCACACACTGCAGCATCACTTACTTAAAGTGTTTTTATGGGCAGTAGCATTCACGGTGGCTTAAAGGATATCGTCCTATTAATAGAGTATTTCATAGATATTTAAAAAGTTGCTTAGGTATATTCTTTGTACTATTTCTCCCTGTCTTGCTGTTTAGCCGGTGTTGAAAGGCTCTGGGAAGGAGATGCTTTGAAAGGGGCTCAAATTTATGGAGGATACCTTTGAACAAATTGTTTGTTTTTTCAGGGAATTATTATTTTTGTGGAGGGCGGTTTATTTGGAGAAGGATTTTCCATTCTCTCACACTGGGAATGAATGCCTGGGCAGAGGAAAAATAAATAAAAATGTGTCAGTGTGTCCTATGATAACACTAAAATCCAAGGCCAAATCAGAAGTTTAGATTGCAAACCTTTAACTCTTTTATTTTGACACTGAGGTAACAGTGAGATTCACATATAGGTGTCTGTAATGTGATATCACCCTGTTTATCCTGTGGGTAAAGATAGCTTTAAGACTCTGGGTATGTGTTTGGTGTCTTTGTCTCATGCTGCGAAATGAGTGTCAGTCAGATGGTCACTTAAAAAACAAAATAGAAAAAAAATGTAAATATCTGAAGGGGATGAAATCTTTGTGCCTGATGTGTGTTTGTGTGTGCAGTTTCAAGGCTTTAAAGCACCCAGAGGGTGCATACTAGCAAAGCATGCGCATGAGTGATTGTGAAGTGCTCTCCAGCAACTCTCCATTACATCACTTAAAGGAAACAACCGGCTGCTTCATGTGTGTTGCATGCAGTGTGAATATTTGTACATAGCCGACCTTCAGCTGCTCTTCCGTCTTTCCTCTTCCTCAGGTTGTGCTAAGGCGGGAGGCGTGCGCTTCTCAGAGGAACCCCACGCTGCATCTTCACACGTTCATTTCGATGAAAAGCTACATGACTCCGTTGTCATGGTGACTCCAGAAGATGATGGCAACTTCTTGGTCAAGGTTAGTTTAACCTTGTAATAGTTTGACACTTAATAGTTACTGAAGATTAAAGAGATGTCTTTTAATGTAGCTCAGTTTGATTTAAATTTTTTTTAACCTTTTTTTTTTAACCTTAACTGTTTTTATAACAAGTGCAGTCAAAAAGTTTCACAACTTGTTCCTTGAAAACCAAAAAAAACCCAAACAAAACCCACCACAGCTAAAATCCTCTTCAATGTCTTTTGCTTGTGAAGCACTGTGAGGCTTTAAGGACTTGACAGATGGTTTCCTTGACGTCTTGTTCAGACCACCAGCTGAGCACAAACGTGAACTTATTCTTCAAACCAATTTGACTTTTATACCAAGGACGATCGCTAATGATGAGAGCCGAGACTCTGCCCGACTGTGGTGCAGGTTTTAGTGGAAGAGCCTACATCAGGTCAGGAGTCAGAGAAGTATGATTGTTGTTTATTTTTAAACATTCCTGGGTTGTGCACCGAAATTTCCCCCTGCAGAAGTTCAAGTTTCTGCTCTACCATCCTGACATGTCACATTTGATCCAAATGACCTGAAATATGGCCATGATCTTAGCTCATCACTGTGCCCTATTGCCAAATTTGGCTCTCTGCAACCTTCTTTTTCCTAAGATGAATTTCAAGTTGCTGATTAGACACAGAGGAGAAGATATGTGAACATGGGAATGGACTCTAGAGTATATCCAGATGTAGAAAAGAAGGTCAGAGTTGCACAAGGAGCTTTGAAGGCAATGACGGATGAATTTAAATCAAGTAAAGTTTTTCTTTAGCGTTTTTATCGGTGCAGTTGTAGAACAGTTTTATCTCACTTCCTGTGTCCTGCTAAAGAGTCTGAAGACCACTCTCCTCTATTGTATTGTCTGTATTAGTTGCAGTCAGACCACAGTCTCGCCTTACAGGAAGTCTAATATAAGATGCTATTTCTGACTGTCAGACTGCAGTTGAGGTAATTCACTTTACTCTGTGTTTCTCATCAGTTCTATATCATTGAACCCACGAATGGTGGTAAGAAAGCTAGCCTTTACTCATTTATATTAGTTCCTCCAAAAAACGTTAATAGTACTTCAATATATATAAAACAGTCAGTGATTAACATGCAAATGTGCAAACATGTGGATAAAATATTATTATCACTGTGCACTGAACAGTCTTATGGCAGCTGATATAAAGGACCTCCTGAGGTGATCAGACGTGCACTTTGGTGCAGTTAGTCTTTGACTGAAGGTGCTGCTGTTGATAACCTTCAGGCCACAGAGTGGGTGTGCAGGGTTGGTTATAGCTGATTTCAGCTTCAAGTGCATTCTTCTCTCGACTGCCTGCTGGGCTTTTTCAAGTTCAGACCCGACTGCTGGGCCGTTCCTCTATAGGTTTGTCTACTGTTCCTCTCTGCTGTGCGGACAGCTTCTCCTCAGCAGGCCCCAACAAACAGCACTGGCCACCACCATATGGTAGACACACTGCACACCAAGTGATGGCAGATGTTCAGTGACCTTAGCCTCTGTAGAAAATAAAGTCACCTTTGTCCTTTACTGCATACCGCCTCTGTATGGCCCCTCCAGTCCAAGACTGGACTGGAAGAAGTATCTGTGGTTGACCACCACTTCCACTTAATTGCTTCAGATTGTTGTTAGTGTTGAAGGAGGATTAATATGAATAAAATTCTCTAGGGATTCATAATAAAAGTCAGTAATTATCAAAATCTTCAGGCAGGACAATTATTGACTGACCTCTGGCTGCTACATGTATTATATAAATGGAAGAAAAAATGTCTTACGTTGTCTCACCTTCAATGTAAGTGCCATGCTGTTGTTGTTTGGTGCTATAGATGACAGTACTGAGCGCTAAAATAATGAATAAAACCCCTTCTGTTCATCTGGACGTTGAGAGGGAGAAACATTTCATCACTCATCTAAGTGACTTCTTCAGTCTTCGGGATGATTGAGACTGTTTTCAGTTTTCACATGACACATTAGATCGATCAATCTATCTTATCAGTCTACAAAATAAAAAGCAGTGTGATTAGTGTAGACATAAAACAATGTCTAAGTTGTGTGAATATTTTAGTTAGAGGATGTTACTAGAAGTGGATATGGAGAGCTAATAAGAGGACGTGTTAGATTAGGTGGCATTAAAAAATAAATAAAATAAAGCTTTTGTAACAAGTAGAGTCAAAATTTACATCAACATGCTATGAAAAGTCAGTACCTATTTTATTTTGTAGTTTTTTTCCTGATGTAATTCTCAAATTTTAGTATTTGTAAACGTTTAAGTAATAGGGGTAGGCTAGAGTCTCGAAGAGATATCGCCATATTTCAACAGAAATTTGTGATCATGATAATTTGATGATATACAAACAAAATACTGATGAAGTTTCATCAGCGATTGCAGCTCACAGGCAGTTTCTTTTTGATCATATTTTTCCATTTTGCTCCTAGGTTTTCATTTTCCCTTTTAAGAGTGCTGATGGTTTGAGGGACACTAAAAGCACACGTGTTACTTCTTTTATACTGTGCAATTATTTAACAAGGGGAAATTATCAAGAGCACAAAAGATGTTAAACGTCCGTCTGTAAAGGATAGGAAGACTGAAGACTATTTTTAGTCTGGTGATTATGTGTGTCTTGTTTATATGTCTATCTGTTATGAATTAATGTAGTCATGAGGTGCTTCGCTGATGACGCGTTGGAAATGTTCGGAGGCACTTACTTAAAATGATCACCCTAAGCTCAGCTGTCTGGCAGCATCACACGCTCTGGATAAGAAGCACTCTGCACCATTTTGCTTCCAGCCTGTTATTCAGTTTGCGTCATGCGTGTCACGTACACCAGAGAACCAAATTCAATTCCAGTTTTATTGTCATGGGGTGCAGGTGTAGTTTCAGAGTGGATGTCAACAAAGGCTGTAAAAAGGTTGATTAAAGGTTTGCCAACACAAGATCTTACTTCTCTGGCACATGTCTTTCTAACAAGAAGCCTCCAACTGGCTACATTTGTAAAAGTAGTGATTAAAAATATTTTTAAGTTTTGTTTTCTTTTGCAAAAAACAAATCTACTTTTCACAGATTATATCTCTTGTGGCGTATCAGCTTAAAAATTCAGAAATAGTACATAAGGGCTTAATTTCCTTGGATGGTATGTTTTCAAGTGGCAGCTATAACAGAGAGAGGTAGGTCTTTGATCTGGTGTACCCGTCCCCTCGCTTTCTGTCAGAATTGATAGGTTGTATCTGTGAAACATCGAGTCCAAGATTAAAGTCTTTTCATTCCTGCTAATCTTCTCTGTCAGCTTTAAAGTTTAGAGAACAATGATATCGGACGGCACATCTTTCTGCTCTCGGCTCTTAAACCCCGGAGGAACCAACAACAAAGGAAGGTGCCTAAGGCCCAACATTGTTGTAATATTAATGATAAATCACCCTGTGACTTAACTTGTCATACAGGCTTGATCTTTAGATGATAGTAATGATAATGAACCATGTTTCTAACTGCACAATTTATTTATTTTTTACTTTCTTTTTACAGTTCTTTATAGCTGCTTTGTTATAGAGGTGGTTGTTCATCAACTTTTATTCATTTCATTGTTTTTTTCTTTATGTTTCTTTTCAACGTTATTATCTGTGAATGTAATGTGTGGGATATCTGTCAGTAGAGATGCATTGCTAGATTCAAATTCATAATGTTGTTGCAATGTTCAGTTGTTTCGACATATTGCACCATTTTAGATCCAAACTGAAGTGTCTCAACAACTTATTTTTGAATAGCAGTAACATCTTTTAAAAATACTTCCCAGAAAATTTTTTTGCTTTTCCTCTGCCAACGTCATGAATTTGAGGAATGTGTTTATAACTGTCTGATGGATTGCCATGAATCTTTGAAGATTACAAATCTTCCCACAGCTTTTTGCTGCTCAGCTGTAAAAAGTCGAGTGGGGTGTTATCGTCGTGAACAGTATAACTTGAGAACGATGGGAGATAGGATATTCAAATTGATCTACTAAAAATATTGTAGAGTTTTCAATGGCAATCCATCCGATGTTCATTCATCGTAAACATCAGGTTCATCATGTCACTAAAACAAAATTGATCACTGAAGTTGGCTCCAGAAACTCGTGTTTTAGTCAAGCATTGTTTCATTTACATAAATGTGCTCATGGTTAACTGTTGAAGGCTGAAATATGAGTTGCAGTGATACTCTTTTTACTAGAACAGATTTTCTCTTCAATAAACCTTGGTGGTAACCTCTGTGTGTTGTAGTTCTATTATTGTGGTAAGTGAGTAATTTAGCATGTTGCTGCAGTCACTCTGTTGATGGGGGAGTGTGGGTTTAGGTTACTATAATAAGCCAGAAAGCCGAAGTTTCAGTGTAACAAGCACCTCAAACTTGTGGACGAGTATTTAAAGATCACCTTTGACCTAAGGTCAGGGGTGATCTTTAAATTCAAAGTGACTTATATGGCGTACTATGTATGTAGCCGGTCTTTAGTCACATAAATGAAACGCAATTAGGCAGAAGAGTGATATCCATCTGGGACACTGTAATCAAGATTGTAGGGCAATTTGGCGGCTTCCACAAACAAGTGCCCTCCCCAATGTAATTTTAATGGATTAATTTTTAAGTCTATGAGAATGCTTCAGTTTGTTGGGCGATGTAATTGCACACTAATCAATGTATCTTTGTTATTACAACATTCTTTTTTCTTTGGTAAATAAGTTTAAAATAACATAAACAGCAACTTGAAATAACATCTCACTTTGAAGTAGTGTCACAGATTTGTTGTTGTTTATCTTTTTTTCTCATGTTGTTGTTATTGTTGTTGTTGTTGTTGTTTTAGCGGTGCCTTTAAAGTCTTCAGAGTGTAACTTTCCAGATTCATAACTGCAAACTTCAGTATGAAGATTCTTGTTTTGGGCTAAGTGTCTGTGGTCAACTCTGAAACAAAGAGGTGGATGCAGTGAGAAAGCGCTGCATAAATTTGATTCTTATTTTCTT